TTACAGTTATTAACTTTGGATCTATGGTACGATGAGGGGAACGTTCCGCAATTTGTAAAAGGAACGCTAGCTAGGGTTCTATATCACCTGGCATGACCCAGGTAGCGACGTCCTTCCGGTGCATGAACCCGAACAGCAGGAACATGGTCGCGCCCAAGATGTGGCAGCTGTAAAAGAGGCTGTAGAAGCGGCGCCGGACGAAACTCAAGCTGGTTAAACACAACAGCCAGCCGCCACACATGGCCACAAGGCCGGAGAGCCGGTTGACGCCCGCACCCATGTTCCAGTCAAGCATGGTCGACAAACTGCGGGCGGGAGCGTTCAAGGCATGTAGGATGCGAAAGCGAGGGGGTTAGGGAGAGAACCTATATGTACGTCTCTCAACTTAGGGACATATTATGTCGCAGCGGACAACAATAGAGCACACTGTTGGAGTTGGCGCAAGCAGACGAAAACGTCCACACAGTAGCGACACAACACGATGGGCAGGGCAGAATTAGCGGATTTTCGTGGTTTGACTGAATCCTGTTGGGAGTACAAAATTGTTCAGGATCGCCAGTCCACAACAAAAAAGGTAGTAATGAGGCCGAAAAGGACAAACAATTCTAAGCACAACGAGAGGTGAGTTTTTTTGAAAACAAATCAGCGTCAATTTTCAACAAACAGGTGATGAGTAGAGGCGGTTCAAACGAATGCATCGTGGCGAGTCTTGGGCAGGCGCAGCTGGCTCACTTAAACCTTCAGCGGGAAGGCAGGTAATAGCACGTAGTTTCCAACCATGGCATAATGCAATCCCTTTGATATGGATTGGTGCAACGGTTCGTTTTTCACCGTCATCAGTGACTCACACGCCACTGTGCGCCCAGATGCTCAGATAGGTGATTCCATGGAGGGAGTATACCAGCAGAGTGCCTTGGCCCAGCCACCTGTAGGGAATGCAGCAGCGAACGGCGGGCGGAAGGACGATGACATACGTGCGATCTATGTACTTCTTGCGCGTGTAAGTTGCACGAACGTGTGCACAGGTGACTTCTATCCCTTTACTCGTGGGGTAGCGGACTACGCACACAACATCAAAAACCAACAGAAGCGCACTCCTGCGCCACTGACAGGCAACTCTGTGGGTGATCTCATCTGCTCGCTTCGCTTTGTGGACATGAACACCTATCTTTCCCAGCCGACGGTGATGCTAATGATGTCCATCAGTCGTTTTGGTGGACCCACCACTGTCCCTCCCACCTGTGGTACTTGACCATTGAGGCGAAATCGGATCCCAGCAGCCAGTGCAGAAAATTGCAGCGGGGTAGTGGGAAGAACAGCAGCAGAATGTCCAGACGCCCGACCCAGCCAGAGTACTTGGCAACGCTGTGGGAAGGAAGCAGACACATACAAAATATGTGACACGGGCTTGTGGGCAAGATGGGTTTCCAGGAAATTATTCATCAGCGAAGCATTGCGGAAAAGAAGAGGTTAATTAATATCCACGCTCCACCGCCCTCACCTGTCTTGAACAACTTCTGGAAGGGGCTTGAGCTTCTTAGCAGCTGGCGGCGGGGACAGCGCTTTGGCCGGTGTCGATGAAGACGATCCGGGCTTGGCACCAGTGCTAGTTGAGTTGCCCGCGGGGCTGCTGCTGCTGCTGTTGCTAGGCGGGGGAGAGGAGGTCTGCATCAACCGACGTAAGGATCCGCGAACCTCTATGCTTGAATTGGCGTTGGAGGTGGTGGTGGTGGAGGGCGGCGGTGGCGGTGGTGTAGCTGTTGTCGAGGGCATGGCCGCTGATAGGCGGCTGGTGTTGGTAATGGAAGTTGACAGCGACGGCGAGGATGATGGCTTGCTGGACAGCGGCGGGCTCCGTATGACCGCTGCGGTTGGAACCAAGTCTTAGTTAAAAGGATGTATTGCAGTTGTCTGAATGACGGTTAGTGGGACGTTTATAATGAAATAAGACAACTCAATACCATCATGTAGCAATTCAGTTGATGAGGAGGCCCGGCCCCGAGCATGCAACAATTAGTTAATGGCGGTGCCTGCATCCTCTGGCCGTGGCATGGAGACTTCTCCACCCCAGTTGACAATAACTGACATGACTGATAACTGACATGATAACTGACAACCAGTAACCAACAATTGCAACGGCATGGCGTCGTCACCCATCGAAAACCGCCAAGTCACCGACGAAGGATGCCCTGCAGGAACTTCCCCTCCTATCAGCCAGTCCGCACCTTTTGGTGGCGGTGGGGCCGCACGCCTGCTGTCTAGTACACGCATCGTCATCTCGCGCAACCAGAGGATATGCAGGCCCAGCCACAGCAGCACCAGCAGCAAGTCCAAAACAGACAGCCCCTCGGGACCCCGGATGGACCGCCACAAGCCGCGAGGGGGGACCTGATAGCGCAGCAGCCGCCGGACGCGAATGACGGCCTGCGAGATCAAAGCATCGATGATCGGATGATGATCTATGTAACCAGCCCATGTCAGCGGTGCATGTATACGTAGAGGCATGGCTGTAAGTTATTATTGTCGCAGTTCGTTTGGACACGAAGTTCTAGAACAGAAGGCGAGTCCATGGATTGTAGGAAGTACAGAGGTGACGAAAGTTCCTCTCGACTATGACCACCTTCCCACCAGAATTCAAAAATGCAAGCAGGGGTGTTGAGTTATGAGGGCAGCGGATCACTTGAGCTGGATATGTATCTCTTACCTTTCTCGCAGCAGCACCAACAGACCAGGATAGACCGCTAGCGCTCTTTTTGACTGGTTTCGGCGGGTGCGACATGGAGGCTTTGTTGGCGGCAGCAGTAATGGAAGACAGCCACAGCAGGCCAGCTGAACCGAGCGCCACTGCCAGCGTGCCGCACCACTGCCATATCAACTGCGATGGCCAATGAAGGGATGGGGCCCCGTTGAGAACTTGGAGACGCAAAGCAACAAGATAAGCAAGCTGGCTTGCTGCGCCAATATGTCCGGTATGTCTGAGATTCTCTCCCCTGGTCTCAATGTCTCAGTGCCCAGAATAAAAGCAAAGTGCTGAGAATAAAGCAAAGTATGAATCCTGTGTCAATTTTGCAGAGTATACCTCGGTTTGATAGATGGATTCATACAGCCAGCCTAGTGGGACACGGATTGGGGAATGCGAATGGTTGGGAGGTGCTGTGTGATGTACGCTGGGTGTGATGCGCTTACCAAGAAGCTGTAGCCACCGGATAGCAGCGGCGTTGCCCTCCCAGTTGTTGCGTTGGCAAAATTGTACTGTAGTATCAATGTGTTGCGCCAGGTGATCAACTCAGTCGCGCGAACCTGATACCACCGAGTTGGAGTCGTTGTGTAGAAGAAACCGAATGAGATCGCGCCGCCGGCGACGATTAGCCAGAGAAGCGCGCAAGCGGCGGTGAAAAGCATGCGACGGAGCATGGCTGTTAAATCTGAACGTGGCAAATCAGCCATCGCATGAAAAGCTGGCAAAATTCTTGGTCAACAGAAACTGGGCTTCGCTCAATCGTGCGGACTCGGAATAGTAGGGCTGACGACAAGTTGTAGGGTGACCTCGAGCACCGTTGTCGGACGGCGTTTTCGAAGAAACACGATGCTTGTGAAACGAGCCGAAAGAAACTGAAAATATTAAGCTTAAGGAAATTGAAACTAATTTTATAGTATGCTGGTTCCCGCTTTAAATAGATAGGTCGGCGTTGTGAACGCCAGGCGTGCGGTTGGCGTGTGATGGCGTGTGTCAATATTCAGTCGTTTTATCTTTATCGTATGTATTTCCCATGTTTTTCCATATTAATGAAAAAATGTTTTTCTTAATTCTACAGGGAGCAAGAGTACTTCTATGGGTACCATTGACTGTGTCACTTTTTCGGTTTGACATTGCAACCTGCCCGGTGGTCTCCAATGAACTTCATAAGCGCAAGTAACTGTCTAGAATCATGATTACCAAGCATAATTCAGGATAAATGTGGTTTAGATCGCGTCAGACGGTGATACTTCTACCCATTAGTCATGTATAGTGGGACCGGTCACCTGCTGAATCCGATAAAGTAATGCGGAAGCCCTCTCGCCGTGATTTGGCAAACAACAGCTCCAAGTAAGTTTTCATCATAAAACTTGTATATATATATATATATATATACAAGTTCCACCACCGTCCCACATATCCACCAACGCGACGCGTACCTTACCCTGTCTGACTTGCTGTGAGCATACTTGCCCTTCCCTGCCGAGCCATGCGCGTGAGAATCTGTGGTAATTAGCTAGAGGAGCATTCCTGTTGGTGATGAATACGGCGTAGTGCTAACAACAGCTGCAAAATGCATCGACATTGACTCATACGTACACAGAACATTTGTGTGTAACTTCTATCAGAAATGAAATGAATTCTCTTCTACAAGATTGCTGTTATTGCGGCTACCCCTGTCCGACAGCTGTTGTGCTGCTGTAATTATCTACCGCTGCATTCAACTATGGTGTCCGTGTTTGTCGGAATGCGAGCTTTATTGACTCATTCGCTTCACGACTGTAAGCTTTATTGACTCATTCGCTTCACGACTGTAATGCTAGGGGTTGAGCAAATCAGGTTTCAGCTGCATCAAAGCTGCAAATGTGCGTGCGCTGCCGCGAGCAGCACAAATCCTTCATAATTCCCCTTACGATCCGTTAGATTGGCATTAGCAATCCCTCACGGCGACGGTGTGATTGCTGGCAATTGCATCCAATGAATCCAGCAAATTCGCATGCATGGCCATTCCCAGCCTCCCACTCTGTAACAACAACAGCATGCGTGGCCATTCACCTTAGCCTGGCAGTTGTGTGTGTGTGTTACATGGTTGGTGGGTGCGTGACCCCATACCTGTAAGACTACCCATACGAGCCGAAGGCCCAAGGGCAATACTACAACGCCTAAAAGCCACGGGGAAAAGGAAAAACACCGCACATCAGCCCAGATTAGCGTCCAAAGGGGGTAATTGACTTTCAGTGAGCCCACATACGTTCCAACATCCTCGCCAGACGTGCTGGTTCCCATTTCATGGCCTCCAACATGCTCTGTTGATGATCGAATCCCTCTTCAGCACGAATATCATTACAGGCTGGGCATTCCAATAACACGTGTTTTTCATCCTCAATTCGGCTATTAGTACCACAACAGTGGCAAAACCGCTGCCCCCTGGGGACATGGTACTTGCCCCTTCGTGCTCTGTTTGCCTCCAAAGCCCAGCAACATAAACCAAACTGCATTAGCTTACGATGTACTAAACGAGGAATGAAAACCTTAGCATGTGTTGGCCACATGACGGCTGCGGCTCCCGAAAAGGGCAGCCCCATCCAGTGCTTATACTTCGCCATTTGCACTCCCGGTTGCTTCCCATCTGATGGGTACTCCTCTGGCAAGACAGTCAGACGCGTATGGTCCCAGCCACTCATCAAACGCTCTCTTAGTGCCGTTATTATCGCTCCTTCGGGTAGAGGCCTACTCAACAACCAGTCAACACGCTCCTTTACCCCCACGACTTCTTGCGGTATTCCGCTCCAAATGTTGCACTCCAAGAAGGAAAACAGTCGTAACATTGAGGTTACCCAACCCTCCCATTCCGGGTTGGTCAGGGCATCGGTTATCTCCTGCCGTAAAACGGCATGAGCAATGGATCCCACTTGCATTTGAAGGCGGTTCCAGAAACGGAGAATCTGCTTCACCCAGTGTTTTTTTTAGTATTATATTCCTTTTAAGGGATAAAGAGGCCATTTTGGCCTTTGGAAAAAAGGAATGAATTGAGGCCGATCCGTACATTTTCATTCCTCCAGCCAAAAACGTCCATTGCTGCCAGATTGCTCCGTAGTGTGCTGAACTTAGTATTATCGATCATAGAATAGATATGAGGGGCCGTAAGAAGGTCAAGCCCGTGAGTCAACGCGGCATAGCAGAATGTATGACCGGTCCTTACATAGCCAAACACGCAAAAGGCAACGACTTGAACGCCGAACAAACACCAAAACAGCAAGATAAGCCTGAAATTTTTCCTGATAAAGGCGTTTGGGACGGCGGTGCTGTTGTCGGTAATGCATCGGCAATGGTGTTGCTGCCAGCGGCGACCGATGACACGGGCGCCATTACCCCTGCCTTCCATGGCGGTTGTGATCAGCATAAGCGCAAGCTGTCACCCAATCAGCTCGACAACAACGAATGCGGCGAGGCGCCCAACCCGAGCGCTCGCAGTGCCAAGCGGGCTCAGACACAGCGCATCCGCAAGGGCATGAGCGACAGTGCATTGCGGGACAAGCAGAAAGAAAATGCCCACAGATGGCAGATTGCCTGGGCCGCCAGGTATCCCTGGGCCCAGCCTGTGCATGCTGACGTGGACGCCGGAGAAGTGCACGACCAAGGATTTACTTTTTGTTCACAAACAGTGCCAGAACTATCTATGCATGTGCATGAAGAGTGCGCACATGAACGAAAACGCGCCAACGCAGTGCGTGCCTCTTGGTCTATGAGGGGAGTTGTAACTTATGGGGGGGGGGTCGGGCTACGCCCCCCCCCCCCAGCGCCCCNCACTTAAGGAATACATTACGGCGACGCTAGCAACTTTGTTACTTAGGTCGGAATAAATTGAGACCCCCCCTAAATGAAAAAAAAATCACTGGCTTCACCATGTAATATTGTAAGGGGAGTTCAGCCAGCTCCGCGTACAACAGCCTGTGGGATGGCCGTGCCGTCCCCACTACCTGCCTCATGAATAAAATCTGCAGCTGGACTGCACTATCCTTCAAACAGGCTTCGAACATGCCCTCCGCAAGGTTGGCATTATCCCGCCGCCTTCCCGCCCTGTCCACGACCTCTGCCAGCGCAAAAGGGCCCCACGCCTGGCAGCCATACAACAGAATTGCTCGGACTTGGGTTGCAAAACACCGCATTCGCACATCGGGGGCAAACAGCTTCATTTTGTCCAGCTTTGCGCTTAAGGAAAACATAGCGGACCGACCTGTATCACACAACTGCTGACGGCACGCACTAAAAGGCCGTTCTGGCCCATATACCAGGCCCAGATAGCGAGCGCTATCTTTGGCAGGTACTACCTGGCCTGATAGCCGTAACTGTTGACATCTCCCGCTAAGTTCCGACTGCTGGGTGCCGTCACATGCAAAAACAAGCCTTTCACACTTTGAGACATTTGGTCGCATCCCAAAAGCTTCACAAAACAAGTCCACAAGATGTAGCAACTCAGACATTCGCTCTAGTGACGTCGCTAGCAGACTAACATCGTCTGCATACAACAGTATGGAGACGCGCTTGCTTTCCACAAGGGGTGCGTCATACTTACGTGCACCAGCTTCTACAAGGTCATGAGTATCAATCAGATCGGCTAGTGTCTCGATGAAGAGTCCAAACAACTCCGTAGATAAAGGACACCCTTGCTTCACTCCTTGCTTAGACTCAAACTCTCCCCCCACTTTCTCATTTACCTTCATCACCAGCCTGGCAGTTGTGACACAGGCACACACCACACACAGGCACGTAGACAATCAGGTACGCTGAAACGGATTCACGCTGGCAGAGGTCAATCTGGGGGGGGAAAGAGCTTGATCGTTCGCCGGCTGAGCTTTGACCCTCGTTTCGAGTGCAAGTCAATTTGCATTCCGATGGGTGCAGTCACCTGAGCCGCGCCATAACACCCAGCCGTGAACTTGGCATGCAGACGAGCAGTGACCTGTGCCACAATGCAACAACCTCGCTTAATTGACATAGCGGCACGATTTGGAGTGAATTTGCCGTGATGATAGCCGTTTGTTGTGGCCAAGGTGGATGTTTTAAGGTTTTCATCATCAAATCACGCTAACTGTGCTCGAGGCAAGGGCATGATGAAGACCCGGGCAAGCGGCGCCAAAGGATTCTTCCCGCTAAAGTTGATTGGCTTTTAGGCGTATAGATATTGCCTTGGGCCTTCGGTTCGTATGGGTAGTTTTACAGGTATGGAGTCACGCACCCGCAACCATGTAACACATACACAGATCGGCACGAAGGGCCCGGCAACCCAACCCCCCAGGTATATGAGTGTTGGTCACTCTCCAGCAATCCCCTCCCATAAAGACAGTTGGTTGGAAGCATACGCGTCTAGATGTCCAGCCAGACGTGTACCCGTCAGACGACAAGTAGCCAGGAATTCACATGGCGAAGTATAAGCATTGGATGGGTCTAGCGGCCGAACAAGTGGGCAGGAGGGAGGTACTCCCGCATGTCACAACGTTTATCCCACGTTCAGCGAATCGCAAGCTTTAGGCTTTGCTGTTGGGCATTGGCGCCGAACAGTGCAGACAACGGACGGCGTTATATGCCTAGGGAGGAGCGAGCATGCCCCTGCTGCGGCACTGATAGACAAATCGAAGATGAGAAGCACGTTTTGCTGGACTGTCCGGTGTACGGC